GACAAATATATAGGCTAATATATTTGTTTATATACAGTTGAAGTCAAATTATTAGCCCTCCTGAATTATTAGCCCTCTCAAATTATTAGCCACCTGTTTATTTTTCCCCAATTGTTTCACAGCAAGAAGATTTATTTCAACACATTTCTGAACATAATAGTTTTAATAACTGATTTATTTTCTCTTTGCCTTGATGATATTACATTATATTTGACTAGATTTTTTCAGGATACTAGTATTCAGCTTAAAGTGATATTTAAAGGCTTAACTAGGTTATAGGCAGGTTAGGTTAATAAGGCAAGTCATTGTATAATGATAGTTTGTTCTGTAGACAGTCAGAAAAAAGATATTGCTTAAGAGGGCTAATAATATTGACCTTGAAATTATGTTTAAAAAATTAAAACTGCTTTTATTCTAGCCGAAATAAAACAAACAAGACTTTCTCCAGAAGAAATAGTATTATCAGACACACTGTGAAAATGTCCTTGCTCTGTTAAACATCATTTGGGAAATATTTAAAAAAGAAAAAAAATCACAGGAGGGCTAAAAATTGACATCAACTGTGTTTATACACTCACTGACAACTTTATTAGGTACACCTTACTTGTACCGGCTTGGATCCCCCTTTGCCTTTAGAACCGCCTTGATCCTTCTTGGCATAGATTCAACAAGCTACTGGAAATATTCCTTAGAGATTTTGGTCCACATTGACATGATAGCATCATGCAGTTGCTGCAGATTTGTCGGCTGCACATCCTTGATGCAAATCTCCTGTTCCACATCCTAAAGGTGCTCTATTGGATTGAGATCTGTGACTGTGTGTAGTTCATTTGAGAACAGTGAACTCATCGTCATGTTCAAGAAACCAGTCTGTGATGAATCATGCTTTATGACATGGAGCGTTATCCTGCTGGAAGTAGCCATCAGAAGATGGGTACACTGTGGTCATAAAGGGATGTACATAGTCAGCAACAATACTCAGGCAGGCTGTGGCGTCGACACAATGCTCAATTGGTACTAATAGACCCAAAGTGTGCCAAGAAAATATCCCCGCACCATTACACTAGCCTAAACCGTTAATACAAGGCAGGATGGATTCATGCTTTCATGCTGTTGATGCCAAATTCTGACCCTACCATCCAAATGTAGTAGCAGAAATCGAGACTCATCAGACCAGGCAACGTTTTCCAATCTTCTATTATCCAATTTTGGTGAGCCTGTGCCAATTGTAGCCTCAGTTTTCTGTTCTTAGCTGACAGGAGCGGCACCCGGTGTGGTCTTCTGCTGCTGTAGCCCATCTGTCTCAAAGTTGGACATGTTGTGCGTTCAGAGATGCTCTTATTTATACCTCGGCTGTAACGAGTGGCTATTTGAGTTACTGTTGCCTTTCTATCAGCTTAAACCAGTCTGGCCATTCTCCTCTGACCTCTGGCAACAACAAAGCATTTGTGCCCACAGAATTGCCGCTCACTGGATATTTTCTCTTTTTCAGACCATTCTCTGTAAACCCTAGAGATGGTTGTGCGTGAAAATCCCAGTAGATCAGCAGTTTCTGAAATACTCAGACGAGCCCGTCTGGTACCAACAACCATGCCACGTTTAAAGTCACTTAAATCCCCTTTCATCGCCATTTTGATGCTCAGTTTGAAATGCAGCAGATCATCTTGACCATGTCTACGTGCCTCAATGCATTAATTGGCTGATTAGAAATTTGCGTTAACAAGCAGTTGGACAGATGTACCTAATAAAGTGGCCGGTGAGTGTCCAATGTTCAAATATATTAGCTATAGTCTCATATATATGGCCATATATCAGATTTCCGTATATAATTTCTAACTATGACTAACTGCCCAGAATATTTTTATTTATTTAAATTTCCGCAGAATCAGCAATGCAGATTTGATTTGTCAAGGTTTTTTAACCCAGTATTTTCATCGAAGGGTCGACAGGATGCATTTTGTTTTCCTCTAAATAAATTACTCTGAAACCTCAGATCCTTGGAAATATTTCCATCATCCGGATGTACAAGGACAGAGCAGAGAAAGCTAAGTTAGTGTGAAAAGTACAGCATGTTATGTTGTCACTAACACTTAATTTCACAACATGCTGTTTTTCTTTTTTAGGATAGAAACCATGATCTCTCGATCGTAAATGTTTCTTCATCTGTTCTGATGTGCAAAAGCAGTTTTCCCTCAACCAAGGAGGTTTTGTAAATGACCTTGTGAAGAAACAAGCAGCATCTGCTAAAATCTTTAAAGCAAATGAATCTGCAACATGAAAAGGCCTCCCTCAATGGAGACGTTCAGACGCACCAAACCCCTTAACATCAGAACTGACGTTAGACTCAATAACCATCCGGGAATGGAGGAGTACAGTTGCTTGCCTCTCGTTCTCCATCATTTGTCAGGTTCTTCTCTCTGGAGATGAATTAGCCGTGTGCTCTTTGTATTTCTCAGTGCGGCCTCTTCAAAAGCTGATCACCTATAAGCTTCAAGCCTGCGAGGCTGAGCTTTGATGGAAAGTCCGGCTTACTGAGCAAGAGGGAAAGCTCTCTGATCTTCGCCAGCAAGGCCCCAGTGGAGAATTAGATTTCAATCTGACAGGGAGGGAAAACAACATTTACGAAACAAAAGTTTAGAATAATTTGGGTGGAAAAGCAGAGCCCGACGGCCGGGCTCCTCTGAGTAATTTCCTGATTCTCCAGCTCTCAGTCCGGCCTGCCGATCAAAGCCACACATCCAGATGCTTTGAGTTGAGCTTAAAGACAGAACTTCATTAGTCAACAATCAGGCACAATAATAGAAGATTCAGAAATATCCTGAACTCAGGAAAATCACTCATATATATATATATATATATATATATATATATATATATATATATATATATATATATATATATATATATATATATATATACATGCATTTTAATGTCATCTAGAGATTCTGCTGTAGGAGTGACTGATGTACTAGTCAGAATTCTGATCTCGAGTTCAGTGAGAAGCGTGGGAATGGTAAATGTCTCTAGATCAAGATCATGGTCTATACAGTATTTAAAGTTTACAGTCTGTCCACACTATAATGGTGTCCATATGTCCATATTGGAAAGCTTTACTTTTTTTCTGGACTCCTGGATTCAAGTGACTTTTATGACATTTAATAAAATAGCAAAATATGGCTGAAAGTTCCATTGACAATCATTGTAATAGATAGAAACATTTAATGACGTGAGGTTCAGATGATCTACTTCAGTTTTAATGGATATCCAGTGTTCTCCAGCATCCGGTGCCTAGACTGCAGCTCTGCACAAGAAGTTTAGCCAGTGGAGAAATGGTCGTGCCCAACTGAGCCTGGGTTCTCTCAAGTTTTTTTCCTTCTCTTTTGTCAATTGGTAAAGTTTGTTCCTCGCCACTGTTACCACTGGCTTTCTTAGTTTGGGACCTGTGGAGCTGATAGATGGATTTGCTCTTGAGTGTTTTACTGCAGCGAAAATTAAAGCACACTGAACTGAACTGAACTGAACTGCACTTCAACTCAGTAAATTGAAACTGCATCAGTCCAGTTTTCAATGTTCACCTTCTTTGACACAATCTACATTGGCAGCTGGCGGTTCATTTCGCTGTGGCGACCCCTGATATATAAGGGACTAAGCCGATGAGAAAGTAATGACTTTTGGGATGTGGTGAAAGGGAAGGTTTGCATCACTGAGAAAACATATATATATTCTTTTTTTTCTGGTTCAAGGCTTATGTCTTTCTTTAATTTGGAAAGATCTTACTGTACTATTAGGCCCCGTTTACACTAGTGCGTTTTAGTTTTAAAAATGCCTTTTAGATCAATAATGATCCGTGTCCACACTAGCGTTTCTGAACATATCTCCGTCCACACTACGCCACCAAAAACATAAATCAAGTGACCATTCACTCACTCTGGGCATGCTCGTTCTAGTATAAACAGAAAGCATGCGTCTCGCTCTGCATTTAGTTATTGTTAGTCAACAAACGCCGGTTGAACATTAAATGCGATGGCGAAGAAAGCAAAAGAGGTATTTTTGTGGACAGTCGACGAGGTTGAGTTGTTACTAAACGTAACAAATGAATAACTGAACAATGGCGCCTAAAACAGACAATAGTGCAAACAACGCTTCCATTTCTGTGTCCATGTGTTTGTTTACAGTGAAGGCTGGTCTGCTGTCTTCCAATAGCGTTAAAGGCATGTGTTATAGTCATGTGATAGGGACTTGACGAATAAGGGAAAGATACGCAATGACACAAAAGCCCCAATCAGGTAGCGAATCTCAGCAGCCCCGCCTCCGTTTTCAGATCTCTCTGTTTTCCCTCATCCACACTGAGACGGAGCAGCAGCGTTTCAGAATAAAAACGGCCTCTCCAGCGTTTCCAAAACGCTCCGTTTTCGGCGCTCGAAATCTCCAGCGTAGTGTGGACGGATGGCGTAACCGTAAAAAAAAATTATGCTTTTTCAAACTAAAACGCATAAGCGTAAACGGGGTCTTAGTCTGTGAATCAGCCAGACTGTGCAGGCAGAGAGGAAGCCGATGTGTAGAAATAGTTAAATGGATGCAACTGGGTGGTTGGATGAGGTGGTAGGATGAAGGGAACTTTAGGGGGTGGAACAGTAAGGCACTTCAAAGCTTTGATGTTGTGAGCCCCTAAATGAAGGCGACTGAAGGTCCGTGCTAATGGGAGCCCATGGGGAGATGAGAGAAAGTGTAGCAGACATAGCTGGAAAGGCAGAGAACGAGTGAGAGAGTTTGTGTGTGTTTAGGATTGAATGTGCTGATGTTTATTGGAGTCAAAGGTTTTATTGACGGACCTTTTGTTGTCAGTGAAGGTGTGTTATTTAGCGGTCTGGTATTTGTAAAACCAATTGCATGTACTACAGTATATGTGAGTATGTCAAGCAATGTCAACATATTATACTCATTTTACAACCCCCTTGAAACTGAGGATGCACTATAAAAGATCATGGAAAACTCATGCATATGTTAACAATCCTTTATTAAATAATCATAATAACAATAATCATCATCATAAAAAGCACATTTCCTGTACAAAGTGTCCAAAGAGAGACTGGGATTTAACCCAGTGCTGTGATTTCTCAAGTATATCGAGTGTTTAAGACAGACAAACGCTCCAAAGAAGTCTTTTTCAGGTCCAAAGCCGAGGCTGGAACAGAGTAGCTCCAAGGCACTTGCAAATGTCCAGGGGTCCAGTAGCAAGACTCTTCAAGAAGTACATGTGTGGATCAAGCAGGGTTCAGTAGAAATATCTAAGCTTGCCTACCAGTGCCTTAAAACTCTTTATCGGAGATCCCAGACTCTCATCGTGTGTCTTATTCTGCAGAGGTGTAGTGTGCTTTGGGTGCATTTACTTCCACCGACTCCATTGTGTTTTTGAGCATGAGGCTGAGGAATCCCATCTGAGCAAGTAGGTAAAGATTTACGGCATCTGTCTTCCGCCTTTTTTTCAGTCTTTGAAAACCACAGGGGAGCAGATTTACAACCAACCTGTCTCCTGTTAACATAAAGCCTTAGCATGGAAACAAAAAAAATCTGAAAAGGGAAAGATCAGGGAAATAAACAGAGGAAAGGTGTTGCATTTTAAAGTATTGGTGTTCCTCAAGGCTCAGTGTTAGGTCCTAACCCGTTTGCAAAAACTGTAACCTAAAAGAACAAAATGTTTTAATATATATATGAATTAATATTTTCCACCATTGACAGGTTTCATAACACTCATCTTGGCTTTCACTTTTAAAAATATATAAAATATTTCTGTATACACTTTTGTTTTCATCCTTCAAATCAATCCAAATCTAAAATGTTTGACCTCTTACAGACTTCAAACAATCATTTTGATGTGTAAAAAATATCTGCTTGACCCTAAAGCCGAGATGTACAGTATTATAAATGACTGGCACAGCAAAATGGTGTCGATTTTAGAGCTTTTAAAAAATACAAGCAGCGGAAATGAACCTATTTGAGCCAACAGCAGTAGCATTCTTTAAGGCCCGGAGTGAAGTAAGAGAATTCAAATCCATGCCTTCAGTATGCGGCAGCCTTTCCCCACATTACTTAATGCCTGTTTACTAGACCAAAGCTCACAACGTTAGCTGTCTCTCGGTTACAGCAATCCATAGGTTGCACTGACAAAATCCTCAATTGTTTTAGACAAGTGCGGTGCCTTTTTTTTTCAGAACACAATCCACCAAACACATAATGCCTAAAACTAAATATAAGAACCTTTTATCTGTCGTTTCCATTTCCAAACTGTCAGAATTACAAGAGAAACACAAAATGGTCGGGTGTTGTAAACACAATAATGATGGCAAACTTTTCTGCGAAGGAAATAAAAATAACCCAAATAGAACAACATTAAACCAACCCATCAAAGCTTTTAAAACAATGCACCATATCCTAGGCCACAAAAAGTACTTTGGGGAATGACGGTGGACAGAAGTTCATGGCTCGAAGGTCCGGCCACAGATCTCCCATTTTCAAAACTAGACCTCTTAGAAATCTAAGCTGATATACTATTATCTTTTTGGAATAGCAGAACATTGATATGTATCGACATTTATTTTTGAGGCTGAGCCCTGGAAAGTGTTTCAGTCTTTGTGGCACCAAACGCTCCCCTTTTTTTGATGTAATCCAGTGAAAGACGAGGAAGTCCTTGGCAGCAGCGTTAGAGCTGAGTAAGCACTGCTTGGAAAATAAGCTCCAGGAGAAGTTCAGTTTAGGAGCTCTCCAGCTGAGATGGACATGCATTCCAGGAATACTAAGAGATGAGGCTCGTCTCTCTTCAAAGAGTCAAATCGGGTAACTTTGAGGTCATTTTAGGATACTTGATATCACCCCATCTGTTTTCCTCAAGCCTCGGAGCAGCAGCGCTGTTGGTTGAGCTTCACTTTGTGCTTAATCCCATCGTATAGCTCGAAGTTGTAGTTCTCCAAAGTGGTGGAAGAGCGAGACGTTAAGCCTCCGTATGAGCAGGTGCAGTAAAGGAGTAGGCCAGCACAAACAGCACCTAGAAGAACTCCTAGAGAGCTCATGACGATGATGGTCAGGAGAATAGGGTCCAGAGAGTACAGCCATGAGTTGTCTTTATCGATAACATGGGTCACAGGGGGCTCCGATGGGGTCTCAGCCGTGCCCCACTCTGGAAACTGGAAACCTAGAAAAACAAAATACAAAACTTAACGTTATCGATATTAAGAATTTGATGAAGAATCCGATGATAGGTTAAAATATATCATGGTACCGAAATTCATGGTTGTAATTTGGGCAATCATGGCACTTTCAAGACATTTCCAAATGATCACAAGAGTTCGCTGATACTATAGTGCAGCAATCTTTATCGAGAAAAAAAAAGTGATATTCCACATATTTAAATCATGTGTCATTAACATTGTCCCTTTTTTATCATAATAATGACAGACCTTTTATTTATCAATTGATTTATTATTAGTGGTGTAATTTTGACTAAATTTAATCTCATCATTTATAAATCATGGCACTTTCAGCACATTTCCAAATGATCACAAGAGTTCTCTGGTACCATTATACAGCAATGGAGTCAAATGAATTGCAGTAATCTTTATAGAGGGAAAAAAACATGTGACCTTCCACATATTTAAATCATGTGTGATGAGCATTGTCCTTTTTAGCGTAATTATTACTGTTTATTTATTATAAATAATTGATTTACTATTAGTGGTGTAAATTTGACTCATTTTGACGAAATTCAATGTCATAATTTAGAATTTATGGTTGTAAATTGGGAAATCATGGCACTTTAATACATTTCCAAATGATCACAAGAGTTCTCTCGTACCACAATACAGAGTCAGAAGAGGCACAAGAAGTGTAATAATCCTTAAAGAGAAAAAAAAACATCCACATATTTAAGTTTTTCCTTTTTTTATCATAATTATGACAGACTTTTCATTTATTATAATTAACCGATTTATCATAAGTGGAACAAATTTGATTAATATTGAATTTTTTTTACTTGCTATCACATAATTTTATCACATATTTTTGTTACCTTTTTTTGTTTAAATACCATAGTTGGAACATGAGGGTAATCGAAAGACCTTTATTAGAAACAGGTAGTCAGACCAGGCGGCAAAGAATCAATAAACGGTAAACCAGGCAATGATGAGTTACCAGCTGTGTGAGTGTAATCAGTGGGAAACAGGAACCGGTGTGTGCAAGGTGTATGCTGGGAGCTGTAGTTCATTACTGTAACGTGCGTGCAGTTCTCACAATCACAACAGTAATATTGGACCATGGTATTCTGTAAAGGAGTGTCATATCCGCCCAAAACAAGCACTCGCTTCGAATCACTTGATTCAGGGTATGTCCTAAATGCCTAAATTTTAAGCCTCGAAAAGTCCTAAATTCACGGAAATATTGTGTTGTAGGTCTTAAATCATTTTAAACAAATCTTGATTTTCCTATGTCCATGTAAAGCTACCCAACTGGGCCAACACCCATCCATTCACTCCATCTCAATAAAAGTTTATTTATTAACTCTTATGTATTAACTATACTTACCAACTCTATTTATTTTTCTATTTATAAACATATGGTTTAATTATCTTCCTTACAATAGCATTTGTTTTTCATTAGTTTTTAAAAAAAGTTTTACCTGGGCCATAAGAAAAAATCCGTAGTGTTTAGCTTTGTGTCTGAAATTTCGTTCATATTGGTCTTAAAAAGGCTTAAAAAGGTCTTAAATTTGACGATGAAACCCGAAGAAACCCTGTCAATAGAATGGTTGTTATCAGTGGTTATCGGTTGATATATATGGGCCAGTAGGGGCCTTCTGTGCCTACTAGTAGGCTCAGAAGGCTGTTATGATGCATACACATGGTTAATCAGCTATAAGTGAAGACTCCAGATCCAGATATGTTTTTACATTGCTGTGATGGTTGGGTTTAGGGTTGGGTAGATGTTAATAAAATACAACTAATGGGAAACTGAATAAACAATTCCCGTTAACTTCCGTCTGCAGCCGTATGTGACCTTTAGCTGATTAACCATGTGGATGGATGATAACAGACTTCTGAGTCAATCAGTAGACACATAACGCCCCTACTGGCCCATATCTATCAGCTGATAATCAGATAACAGCCATTCAATCGAGCGATAACATATAAATTGGTTAAAAAAGTGACAGATGGTATCAGATGGTACAAAAAACATAGTACATTGGTAGCATTAAGGAATGAAGCCATGGTATTTTGAAATATGTCATACTTTTAAGACTACTATGGTATTAACAGTATTAAGGTGAAGTACAACTTTCCATATTTACATGTTAGCACCATTCCAGCACTTTAAAGTAAATAGAATAACATGGTACAACATATACCTTGGTAAATAATACACTGTAGCAACCATTCACTTGTTTTGTTTAACACTGCAGCCATTGGAAGCTAAGCAAAAGTTGTGTGTGTGTGTGTTTGATTTTCTGTATGGTGTCCTATGGAGAAAGACACATAACCAACTAATGGCCTGGTCTGAGGGAGAACATTGCTGACAAAACTAAGCCGTAAACTCTTTTGTGGCACCCTGCGCCTCACTAGCGGTTGCATAGGCTTAATTAGGCTGCTTTTGACAGTGAGCCGATGCCAAAACTCACACCAGCTGAGCCTCTTTCGCACTTTGACTGATATCTGTTGCATTTTGTTAAAGCAAATTTCCCTTTTGCCCTTATTGGTTCCAACAAATGACTTCCGAGGTGATTGACAGCGTGTGTGGAGAGTAAGCTAAACACAGACTTCATTATGTTAAATTAAAAAAATGAGAAAGAGATAGAAGACGTTGATAAAAGAATTGGAAGAGAGTGAAAGAAAGACAGACGGAGGGGGTTGGCGGTCTGTAAGGATGAACAGATTTCGGTTGGGTAATTAACTCGTCCTTGAATGTCTTATTTATTTATTTAAGAGCCAAAAACAAAGACATCTTTATGAGTTGATGGATTCCAACTGTGTGATAGCAGGAAGGAGGAGGGCGGAAAGACTGATAACCGGAGATGGGTTTTTTTTTTTGGTTGTTTTTTGAGCAGAAATGCGGGGTGAGGGCGATGCGAGCGTGAACAAATACGTACATTCCCACACAAACACACTGTAGCATGTCAGCTCTACCCATACAAACATATGCACAGATACACTCTGGAGCAGAGTTTGTGCCAAAAAAGAAATTATGCAATGAGAAGCAATAGGCAACTCATTTAATTACATAATGTGATGTCTTTCCAAATTAAACAGATTCAGAAAATAATTAAAAAATAAATCCTCCTATGGTAATGTATAGTAAATACTGTATTGTTTTTGAGCCATAGTGTATGACACTGGATCTATTTTAGTATTTACAACATTAGGTTAATGTGTATAAATGGTGTAGTGTTATATATACTTTATAGTTGTAAAAAAGAACAGAATTGGGCTGTTACTTTTACTATACCATACAACACTATACTATGCTGTGCTGTGCTGTGCTGTGCTGTGCTGTGCTATGCTATGCTATGCTTTGCTTTACTGTACTGTACTGTACTATACTGTAACAAGCTATTACTATACTATTTCTATATTATGCTATACTTTACTGTACTATACTGTACTATACTATACAACACTTTGACATGCTATAACTATACTATGTAATACTTTACTATACAAAACTATACTAAACTATGATATGCTATGCTATACTATACTAATGCCATACTATACTATACTATACTATACAATACTATACTATACAATACTATACTTTACAATACTGTAATATAATATTACTGTACTATGCTATGCTTTACTTTACTACACTATGCAATGCTTTGGTACACAATACTATACTAAACTATGCCGTGCTATGCTACGGTATGCTACGTTATACTATACTATACTATACTATACTATACTATACTATGCAATACTATGCAATACTTTACTATTAGTATACCATTACTACACTATGTGATGCTATACTTTACAACACTATAACATGCCAGTACTATACTATGCAATACTATACTATACTATACTATACTATACTATACTATACTATACTTGTTGTGTTACCATAGCAACTATAGAATTACCACAACAGATACATTTTTTACTTTTGGTATGACACCAAGAACATACATTCACTTTAAACATGTATAAACTGCGTATTATATATATATATATATATATATATATATATATATATATATATATATATATATATATATATATATATATATATATATCATTTATAAATAAATTTTTATTTAAATAAATAATTTATTTAAATAAATAATAATAATAATAATAATTATATATATATATTTTTTTTCATTTCATTTTTTTCCCATTTTTTGTCTTGGCTTTACAAATGTAATACCTTACAGGAAAACAAAAAGAGCAACAAAGAAACATTACTTGTTCCTGGTTCCTGCTCTTTTAAATAAGTCCCTGTCAGGAAGCTTATATTGTATGTATTGTATGTTGAAGTGGGAACTAACCTGCATTTATGTGGTCCTTCCCGGTGAAGAGACGGCCATTTCCAACCTCTGGTTTTTTAACTGTGGACAGAAATGAAGACACTGCATTGAAATTGTTGCATTGAAGGTGCTAAGAGTATGACAGAAAGTGTTTCGGGCCCAAAAAGTGCTCACTACTAATGAAATCATACATTTAAATTTATGCATATGGAAGATGCTTTTATCCAAAGGGTCTTACACTGCATTTAAAGCTCTTTTTTTGCTTTCAGTTACTTGCAGAGTACTGGCAGAAGTCTAAGTGTGTATATTCAGACTTAATGACATGTACATGCATATGAAACATAATCACAGAGTTCAGATATAAACAACCTAGATAATTACAAAGTAAACCCAGCAACATTTACACACTTATGTCATAAATTGGAAAAAAAAATATGCCAATGTCTACACTGTTTCTGAATTGATATAAATAGATATAAAAGAGCAATGACGATTAAAAAAATAAGATTTTATTGTCACATTTTTTAAAAGCAAATTTTCAAGACACAAATTCATCAAGCAAAAATATTCTGTTCACATTCGCATTTGAAACAATGTACTAATTTCAAAGTTGAGGTATAGGCTGACCACAGTTAGAAGGTACTTTCGTAAAGCAAAGTGCATTATCATCATCATCACCATCATCATCATCATTATTAGTTCATAGTCTGTATCAGATGCTTCACCACCACATAGGTTAGTTTTGCGATTAAATAAAAGGCCTGTAACTTTCAAACTGCTTTACAGATCAACGTCAATTTGTTTTAGAAATGTCCAAGTTGGAGCCCGATGTTTCTAAAGGCAGAGATATCAATGTGAAGTCTGACCAAATCCACTGTAAACCATCTATTTTACCTAAATCACTACCTCAGTGGAGAAGTTTTTTGACTGTTCGACAACTCCTGAGATGTCCAAAAGCGAGGAGACATATGCAGGGGTGTGAACATCCACTGCAGTGCTCCGCTCTTTGAAAAATAGGCTGTTTTGCTTTATTAGAAGCTTCTCGGTTCAGCATACGTGATGCATTTAGGAGCCGGAGAAGAATGGCTGTTTGGCAGTACGCCTCGCTGGGTGAGGTGTTGACGGCGCTCATTAATGTGGCTTCGACAAGAGGCACGGGGCGGGAGTCAGAACGCCTATAGCAGCTTTAATAAATGGTATCTGGTCCATTAACTAATTAAAAAATATTAAGAGTAAAGAAAGAAAAAGGGGGGACACAGTTTAGGGAAGAAAGAGCGATAAAGTGGCTGCTTTAAAAGCACATTGCTCGACGGTGCCAAAACATCTCTTACCACCTCACAGCAGGAAATGGCATTAAAAAGCCCCCGAGGAGCTTAAGGTCTTTATCCTTTTATTTCCATTTTGAACAGCTCTATACGTCCTATTCTGACATTTTAAAATACTTTGAGCCATGATTCTAGATCTGCCGAATTTTCTTAAAGGCACAGTTCATGTGAACATCAAATATCTGTCATCATTTATTCACCCTCATGGTGTTTCTGAGCTTGTATGACTTTCTTTTAAATGCAAAAGACAAAAGGAGATGATATGTAAAATGTGTTTTCCGTAGGTTAAAAGTGCAAGAGGGGGTGAAAGATATCAAAAATACCACACTGAGATGCGAAATCATCAGGGGTGAACTATATATAAAACTCAAGATTCTGCGCAATTCATCTATATTTAATATTCATATTGACTTATTAATTAAGAATTTGCTAGTAAACTGTCAACAAACTGAATTTAGATAATGTGTTGATTGAAGTTACTTTTGAAAGTATAATATTACAATCTTAAGCCTATCTTAATTCAGTGGTTCCCAAAGTGGGGTTTGGGACCTCCTGGGGGGTCGCGGGCAGGGCTGGCGCGTCCATAGAGGCGACCTAGGGTGGCAGAATAAAGAGGGCGGCGTCCGCGACACCTCCCTCAACACCCGCGTCCTCAGTTATGTTCGCGACACCTCCCTCAACACCCGCGTCCTCAGTTATGTTCGCGACACCTCCCTCAACACCCGCGTCCTCAGTTATGTTCGCGACACCTCCCTCAACACCCGCGTCCTCAGTTATGTTATGTCACCCCCCCCCCACACTCCCCCGTGTTTTTACTTTTGGGTTGAGGGAGGCATGACCGTCCGTTGCCTAACGCGGCAGTTCGGCTTGCTCCAGCCCTGGTCGCGGGACAATGAGGAGGGTTTCCAAAAATCTAATTCATTTTATTAAACTATTAGAACTACCATAATTAATTCATAACCTACTGAAGAAAAAAAAAGCTGTTGAAAGTAACTGTTAACATTATAAAAAAACAACATATAATTAAAATAATAAATAAAAGAAATAAAAAGCCATCAGCCTTTCGATTTTTTAAATTTTTTTAGCGACTCCTGAGGCAATTATGTTATATTAAAGGCACAGCACATTGATTTTATGATACCAGGTTGAACTTTCTGACACCTTTACAGTACTCACGCGCATCAAGAATAAATAGAGGCCACAACTGAACATGGAGGATGGTCTTCGAGTGGTGTTCTCCAAAATTCAATGATCAATAGACTTGGGCCTATTGATATGTGTGCGCAGTTGTGTGCAGGGTTTATATATTTAGAACCACGTCGGAGAATATTGGGAGTCGCGAGTCACTGGCATTGTTATTTTGGAGTGATCTCTTATTATTAACAATAATGTATTTACTTGCACATCTGACAGACTGAACAACATAAATTAACCGGCAACGGTTTCCATGTCAAAGAATACACACAACTACCTACTCTGTTTAGTAGCTAACTATTCCTGGAGACGTTACAGCAGTTCATTCTTTGGTTTTGCTGTAAGCATATTGGGGCCTTTACGTTTGTACTTTTCCATTTCTTTGGACATTATACGGCAATCCCTTCAAGTACCAATTCTTAATGCCATACTATAATCAAACAGTACTGCCACAGCATGCTCACTCTGCCCTAATTCATTTAACCTATAAAACCAGAATGACAACTCAATTCAATAAACGATTCAACATGCCTATGAAAAAGCATATGGCGGTCTTGGACAGCATTCACTGCTAATCTCTCTTGAAGCTTCATGACGCTTCACTGAACCAAAATTGCTACCAGGTGTTGATATGAGAAGTTCTCTCCCACCCATAGCATCCCTCATAGCTTGGAGACGGAGAAACGGAAACAGCTGTCTTTGTTTATGGGACTTGTTTTTGGAGCCTCAACACCAGCGAGCGCTTGCTCAGAATAACACACGCCAACGCAGTTTTGGGGGATCTTTGGGAAAAAAAACGAATGTGAGAAATGCGAGATACAAAGGAATAACCTAGATACTGCCACAGAAATAAACATGAAGGCTCCCTTACACAATCCAACCGCTTTTTCCCACAAATATCTCAAAGGTGGTGCAGTCAGTTCATTTAAGTTTAGCACATCATTGATCTGAATCCATATCTAACACAATGTTTAAAGTCAACGCGAAAGAGCAATTAGTTTTACATTCGAAATATTTCAGAACGAAACAAGACACAAAATGTGGGATGTGACCTGATTTTATCCATCCAAGTCTGAATGGTTGCTGAAAAGCTTTTTTTATAACATGATAGAGGCTGGAAGTGTGTTTGCCAACTTAGGTTCATTCTGAAAACGTAGCCCTATATACATTTCTGGAGATCACGAACTATGTAGCCAGAGGCATGTTTGGCTGCATAACATCTTTAAAACAAACGTTACAGGGCGGTATGATGGTATTTACCTTTATGTGGATGTTTTTTTTTTTACTGTTAACAGTTTGTCCAGTGGTCTGCCATGTACATAGGATGATTTGAGACGCAGAAAAGATTTGACCAGGATGATGGGGTTTGAGTCTGGTAAAGAACGGGTCCAGAATGCAGATAAGACAATTTCAAAAGCCAAAAAATAAAATAAACAAGTAAATAACGTTGAGAAATCTGACAACATGGTAAAAATCAGACGGCTGAGAGGGCTTTTCTTTTTCTGGATTGCTTTTGAAAACACTATCGGTTGGGTTTAGGGAGGGGGGGTCAGATTTAGGTTGGGGGAATCGGTCGGTCAGTCAGTCAGTCAGCCGACAGCAGCCTTTGTTGGATTTAAATGAGAACAGCAGACATGAATGGCACTCGCGAGAGAAATTTGAGATCTCAAAAAGCTCACACAGCGGCTTCTGGCGGATTCATGAAAACAAAATATGCAAAAACGTGAAGCTCTTGGAATGAATTTGGCACTCTCCAAAAATGTACATAGTGGTACATAGTCACAATGAGCCTGGGTTGGTGTCAGAGTGAATGTTTTACTTTTAAATATGTAATTGTTTGCACTAACAGAATCAGGCTTTAATTTACTGACGAAGTGGAATTAATTCATCTTCTGCAACATTCAATGAGGTTTTTTACTGGAAATTCCTTTGTTGGTGTTTACTTTTCAGATCTATCCTAGTTTGCCATTCTTGAAGCAGTACGTTTAAGTTATTGACAACTGGCATTATTCTGTTTTCTGATACTTTTAATGACATTTGGGACTTCGAATCCCAACACAACGGTTATTTTTCCATTCTATTGACATTTGTAATTAGCAGTCTTTATGTTACTGAGAGCTGCCATTTATCTTTGCACATAAATCACAATGCCATTGTTTACAATTACATTAAGTAATTTGTAATTACATCATAAATTACAGAAATTAATGCTGTGTAAAACTGAATCAAATTTGAAAAGTTTCTTATCATATTTGCCGGAATTGATAACTTTTAAAATCTTTAACTTAAGGCTTTTTGACTGAGACTGTGACTACGTTTACATGGACATCAGTAATCAAATAATTTGCCTTAATCTGAATAAGATAATAATATGATTAGGGTGTTTACATGAGTTGCTTTTGAATGTTCCTTTCATGATCCTGTTTTACATATCCACATTTTGGGGTGTTTTATTTTTATATTTGTCAACTTTACCTGCAGTTCGGCACTTTCACTTTAATTCAGGAACATTTCATGCATTCCCCTGTGACAAACTGTTATTGGATGCGTGTATGAATTTCT